CCCTGGTGATTACCTAAGGCTCTGCCCCACACAATTTAGAGGTGCCTTTTCTACAAAAGGCCATGCTACTAAGACACAGAGTCAAAGCAGTTCTACCTAGTACACAGAAACAAATTCAGGGAAGCTGCCAAATTGAGGAGACAAAGAAATATGGCCCACTTGAAAGAACGGAACAAAACCTCAGAAAGAGAGCTGAATGAAATGGAGATAACCAACCAATCAGATGCAGAGTTAAAACACTGGTGATCAGGATGCTCAAAGAACTCATTGAGTATGACAACAACATAAAGGAAGAAATGAAAGGTACACTAAGAGCAATAAAGAAAAACCTGCAGGGAACCAACAGTGAAGGTGAGGAAGACAGGATTCAAATCCACAATTTGGAACATAAGGGAGAATTAAGCATTCAACCAGAACAGCAAGAAGAAACAAGAATTTGAAAAATCGAGGACAGTATAAGAAGTCTCTGGGATATCCCCAAACGTACCAACATCCAAATCTTAGAAGTGCCAGAAAAAGAAGAAGAACAAGAAATTGAAAACTCACTTGAAAAAATAATGAAAGAAAACTTCTCTAATTTGGTGAAGGAAATAAACATACAAATCCAGGGAGCTCAGAGAGACCCAAACAAGTTAGACCCAAAGAGGAACACACCAAGACACATCATAATTAAAATGCCAAAGTTTAAAGATAAAGAAAGAATCTAAAAGCAGGAAGAGAAAAGCAGACAATTATCTACAAAGGTGTTCCCATAAGACTGTCAGCTGATTTCTCAAAAGAAACCTTGCAGGCAAGAAGGGACTGGCAAGATGTATTCAAAGTGATGAAAAGCAACAACTTAAAACCTAGACTACTCTGTCCAGCAAAGCTATCATTTAGAATAGAAGGGCAGATAAAGAGCTTCCCAGACAAGGTAAAGCTAAAGGAGTTCATCATCACCAAGCCATCATTACATGAAATGTTCAAGGGACTTATTTAAGAAAAGGATCAAAACTATGAACATTAAAATGGCAACAAATTCATAACTATTAACAACTGAACCTAAAAAAAAAAAAAAAAAACCCTAAGCAAACAACCAGAAAAGGAACAGAATCATAGATATGGAGGTAATTTGAGGGTCATCAGCTGGGAGGGGGAAGGGGCACAATGGAGGAAAACATGCAGGGAATAAGAAGCATAGTTAGAAGAAACAAAATAGACATGGGGCTGTTAAAAATAGTATAGGAAATGGAGAAGCCAAAGAACTTACATGCATGATCCATGGATATGAAATAAGGTGGGGGACTGCTGGAGGGAAGCAGAATAGCAGGCAGAGGTGGGCAAAACTGGGACAACTGTAATAGCATAGTCAATAAAATACATATCTTTAAAAAGGCCAAAATATCTAAGGTACCTCTGAAAAAGAACAAGTAGAAGAATTTTTCCTACAAGATATCATAATATATAATATCAAGTTAGCATAAAGCTACAGAAACTATGAAAGTATGGTTTGGGCACTATAAGAGACAAATTAGTAGAATATGGAAATATGATTAATAACAGAAATGGCACTACAGATCAGTGCAGATTAGTCAATAACTGCCATCATAACAACTTAATATTCACTGAAAAACATAATGAAATGATTCCTACCTCACACCATAAACTTAGTCAAAATTAATTAAAGAGTTAAATATAGAAAGCAAAACTATAAAAGTTTAGAAGATGATAAAAGAGTCTATCTTTAAGACCTCAACAAGGAGTTTTTTTACTTGACGTTGGTTTCTAGCTTCAAGCCATTGTGTTCCGAGAAGATACTTGATATGATTTCAATTTTCTTGAATTTGTTAAGGCTTGTTTTGTGTCTTACCATGTGGTCTATCTTTGAAAATGTCCCATGTGCATTTGAACAGAATGTATATTTTGCTTCTTTGGGGTAAAAGGTTCTGTATGTATCAATTAAGTCAATTTGCTCTAGAGCAAGGGTGTCAAACTCATTTTCACCAGGGGCCACATCAGCCTCACGGTTGCCTTCAAGGGGCCAAATGTAATTTTAGGACTGTATAAATGTAACTACTCCTTAACTAAAGGCAAGGAGGTCAGCACTGCTGCTGGGTAGAAACAAGGTGCTGGGCCGGATAAAACAAGATGGAGGGCCGGATTCGGCCCATGGGCCTTGTGTTTGCCATCTGTGCTCTAGAGTGTTCTTCAATGTCACAACATCTTTGTTGATTCTTTGTTTGGAAGATCCATCCATTATTGACAGTAGGGTGTTAAAATCCCCTACAATGAATGTGTTGCTGTTGATATCTTTCTTGGTCCTCCATTTTCCTTATATATTTAGGTGCTCTTATGTTGGGCGCATATATGTTTATAAGGGTTATATCTTCTTGATGGACTATTTCCTTAAGTATTATATAGTGGCATTCTTTATCTCTTTTCATAGCCTTTGTTTTGAAGTCTATTTTGTCTGATATAAGTATTGCTACCCCAGCTTCTTTTTTCATGTCCGTGTGCTTGTAATATTTCTTCCATCCCTTCACTTTCAGCATGACACCAAATCAAAAGAACATATGCACCCCAATGTTCATAGCAGCATTATTTACAATAGCCAAGTGCTAGAAGCAGCCTAAGCTCCCATCAGTAAATGAGTGGATCAAAAAACTTTGGTGCATTTACACAATGGAACACTACACAGGAGAAAGAAAGAAGGAACTCTTACCCCTTGTGACAACATGGATGGAACTGGAGAGCATTATGCTAAGTGAAATAAGCCAGGCAATGAAAGACAAATACCATGTGATCTCACCTGTAAGAAGAACCTAACAAACAAAACAAACAAATGAGCAAAATAGAACCGGAAGTATGGAAACAAGGAACAGACTAACAGCAACGAGAGAGGAATGGGCAGGACATTAAGGGTGAAAAGATGGGGAAGAGACTAGCCAAGGAACAGATATAAATGACTCACTGGCATGGACAACAGGGTGGGAGCTGACTGTGGGAGTAGGGGGTGATCTAGGCAGAGGAGAGCAAAGAGGGAAAAATGGGGATAACTATAATTGAATAACAATAACATATTTTATTTATTTATTTTAAAGATTTTATTTATATATTTTTAGAGAGAGGGGAAGGGAGGAAGAGAGAGAAGGAAATGTCAATGTGCAGTTGCCTCTCGCGTGACCCCCCACTGGGGACCTGGCCCACAACCAAGGCATATGTCCTCACTGGGAATTGAACCTGCAACCCTTTGGTTCACAGGCCAGCACTCAATCCACTGAGCCACACCAGCCAGGGCACACTAAAATATTTTTTAAAAATTTTAAAAAAAGACCTCAACATGGGAAGATTTCTTAAATAATACACAAAGGGAAAAAATGATTTAAAGGAAAATATCAACAAATTTACAGTAAAATTAATTCCTGTTCCTCAAAGAATCCAGTATAAGAAGTAAAAAGTCAAGACCTAAACTAGAAGATATTTATAATATCTATACTAATAAAGGATTAGTATCTAAATTATATACAGTACACCTACAAATCAGTTTGAAAGGGCAAAGACAGGCAAATTACTAAATAAGAATTTCTTAAAAGAGAAAACACAAATGGCCAATAAATATATGTAATGTGTTCAACCTGTTTAGTAATTATGAAAATGCATTTTAATAGCATGAAATACAGTCTTACACCAATTAAACTGGCAAAGCTTTAAAAGTCTGACAATTTCAAATGTTGACAAGGAGGTAAAGCAACAGGAATTCTTTTGTTCTGCCAGTAAGAGTGCAAATTATTTCCATCTCTTGAGAAACCTATTGAACACTGTCTAGAAAACCTGAATATATGCATAATCTAGATCTAGAAATTCTAGTACTTGGCACCTGCACATGACCCTGTTACATGTGCAGCAGGAGACACACATAAGAAAGTTCACAGCAGTGTTGCTGGTAATAAAAAAATAAACAGGAAACCATCAAATACCCATTGGCAGGAAAATGGATAAATTGTGGATCAGCCATACAAGTAAATATTTACAGTGGTAAAAATAAGTGAACCTCAGTTCCTTGTATTAACATGGAGAAATCTCAAGGTCATATTGCTGATCAAAATAGCAAGTTCCAGAAGAATAAGCACAATATGATTACGTTTATATAAATCTTTAAAGCATGCAAACTAAATAATATTGTTTAAGAATATATGTTTGTAGTAAAAATAATTAGCATATGTTTCAGAATAAATGATTCTGGTTAGGGAGAAAAGATGAAGGGATCAGAAAGAACCAGGTGGTCAAGCTGGGGGAGACCTCAGAGATACTTCATGTACTACCATGTTTCATTAATTTTGACAGCCAATTTTTTTTTACATTTTAACATCTGTAAAAAAAGTTTATTTTTAATTACTTACATCTTACAGATATATTTGAATATTCTTTATTATATACTCAATGTATAATAAGGTCAAATTAAAACAGTTAATAATCATGGGTCCAGTTAACAGAGCAAGGAGAGGATTAGGAGTAGAGACAAAATTTGACAGGACCATGAACTTAGATGGTGATGTTCTATAGAGATAAAGGGGGAGGCGGAGGAATAAGTCTTAGATTTCAGGATAAGGATAGAGACAGGAACAGAAAGCCTTAGGAAACAGGACAGTGTGAGGAAGAGTATGAAAATTTGGAAGAGTTTGGTTCTGAAGTAGAGCAGGATAAGAACCAGGAGGGATGGTGGGGATAGCGTTGAAGCTCTAGAACAGTGCTGTCCAGCAGAACTTTCTGCAGCAGTGAAATTTCTGCATCTGTACCATCTAATATGATGGCCACTAGACACATAATAATGTAGTTATTAAACATTTGGAGTGTGTCTAGTGTGGCTCAGGTATTGAATTTCTAACTTTATTTCATTTTAATTAATTGAACAGTACATGTAGTTAGTGACTACAGTTTTGAACAGCACAGCTCTAGAGGGTCCATGGCTCCTGAATCTAGACAGAGGACAGGGAGAGGGGCACCAGCCCCAGGACACTCACCAGCCACTATGAATAGAAAGATGCCAAAGCCCAGGACGTAGTAAGGCCACTGCACGGAGAACTGGGGAGGGCTGGGTTTCATCGTCAGACTCTGGATCTCCAGGGCATGCAGCAACAAGGCCAGGAGAGCACAAGCCCCTGCAGGGTCACAGAGAGGCACCCTTGCTCTCCTCCTGTGGTTCTGCCTTTGCTCCAGCCTTCCTCTGACTTAATCAGACAGAGCCATGTAGGCTATGTGTCTCCTGCCTGGAGGCCCCTTTCTTATGCTGGCACACCTTGTCCTCTTGGTCAGTAACTTCCACCCCACATGCCTGCCTTACCCTCTTTCCACTCATCTCAAAGCCCATGTGCCTTATCCCCCAGGGGCCCCCTAATCAGAAATCCCTTTCCTGAGTACCCTTTGTGCTCATGACAAGCTGACTCCAGCCTGGGCCCTTTGGGTGTGATGCTTTGGACTGAACTTAACCTGATTTTCCCACTGTTGAACTTCCAGCTCCTCCATTTCACGGCAGGGGAGGGCCTTGGTCAACCTTTAAAAGCAAAGGTTCCAAAGACTGAGAGAGTCTTTCCATTCATCCATCTAAGAAACATTTATATTGTATTAGAATATTTAATTCAACTGTATATTGATTCAATTGTATTAGAATTCTATTCCAGACTCTATGGTAGTCGCTGGAATAGAGATTATGATAAGATGATCACCAGACAAATGACCCCAGCCAGTGTGGGAAGGACTGTGCTAACTGGAAGTATGGAGTGCGGAAAAGCCCCTAAGAGGAGGGGTCATAAATACTGAGGGGGTGGATGTGGTGGTGGGCTACTTCATAGAGAAGCCAAGAGAAGAGGTCTTAAAATTCTCTCTCCTGACATCAGAGACCACCCCCCTTCTCCTCGCCCCCCCTACCCACCTTTGGACCCCTCCCCCGGCCCTCCCCATGGTCTTTCTGCCTGCTGCACACCTGTGAGGAAGCTGAAGAAGGCTGACACCAAATTGTGCTTCCGGGTCCTTGGAAAGAGCTGAGATGCAAAGGACACCATGATGAGGGTGGTGAGGAAAGACAAGACGACGGCAGACAGCAGGAAAACTCGGCCAAGGATGATGTAAACTGCAGGGGAAGGAGAGCAGGCTGGCGCTGGGCACCCTGACCCCAAAGGGCAGAGCCCACAAGAGCCCATGGATTCTGGGTGGGGATGACCCCTGTGGCTCCACCACTTCGTGTCCCAACGTGTGGCCTGGCACCATGGTTCTGACCCTGCCACTTTGGCCCCAAGGATGCTCTGGCTCCATTTCATTTCCCACCACATCGAAGTGAACAAACCAAAAAAATTAGATGGACAAATAGTGGTTTTAAAAATAACATAAAATAAAACCCTCATGCGAAAATTTATTACATGAGGAAACATCAGGAATTGCATCTATATTGGTTACACTTAAAGAACTGGTGGAAAATCAGAACTTTGTGAGATCAAGATGTTCTGACCTCTGCGGGGAACCCCTGTAATCATCCTGGTTAACAGGAGTCATGAAACAGACTCAAAGTAGCATAGCCAGGGTCTTAAGGACAGGGCGATACATTCTCCTACCCTTACGTGATTCAGACCCGTGTTAAAATGAGTTTGTATGCCCTCTGGAACGGCAGAAATGGACACCTGGGGGTGGGACAAAGTGACAAAGGTATTGTTGAAGACCCAGAGTTCTAGAATCTACCCTTGAGTTAAAACAATGCTTCTCAATCTCAACCAGAGACAAGGTTGACCCCCATGGGGGATAGCTGGCAATGCCAAGAAGTAATCTTGTTTGTCTAAGATTACTAAGATTACTAAGGGAGGGGGTGTTCTACTGGTACCTAGAGGGTAGAGGAAGGCTGGGGTGCTACTAACCTATAGGAAACAAGGGAACTCCCACCAAAGATTGTCCAACCCAGAATGTCAGTAGTGCCAGGGCTGAGGAACCCTGGACCAGCAAGCTCACACAGTCTGGCCCATGTTCCCCCAAAGTGTCTCTTCTACTATCAGGAGGTAACCCCTAGGTCTCCCAAGGTCACCTCTTTTCCAAGTAGACACTATCATGGCCTTTCCAAGTTCCTTGTAAAACATGGTTTCAAGTGTCTCATTGGCAATGTGGTACGCAGGCCTGAGCACATTACCTGCAGAGCTGCCACCCAGAGTTGGACAGGTGCGTGGCCAAGGGGACAAATGGAGGCTAAAATCAAGCCTGCACTCTGCTAACCAGGCTGCTGAAGGCCTTTGAAGCTCCTAAAGGGTACTGTCTGGATGGGCTAACTGCAGCCCTGAGAGGTGGGGGAGCCTCCCAGAGCAGGGCAGGGTCCCCTACCCCATCTCAGGTAGAGCCACTCTTTCCCCAGAAATAGACTTTGTTGCTGACACACTGGCTCCTGACTCCAGTGTCAGCCTCTCATCATTAACCCCTCCCAACCGCCTACTGTGCTCTACCCCTCAGAGTGGAGACTTAGAGAAAAAGTCCTTATGGGTTTATTAAATCCTGTCCTCTGCCACCCCCCAGCCCCTGCACCAGCCCCATCTCTTCCCAGTCCCTGCTTCCGTCCCTTCTTACTGGATAAGGGTCGAGGCCTCCAGCACTTGATATGAAAGCAGTTCTCAAATAGGCCACTGAAAAACACTTCACGGGACTCTTCATTCACAAGGCGAACCCAGAAGGGGAAGATGGCAACCAACAGTATGAGCAGGTAACCCAGTGAGGTCAAGGCCGGGGCTATGGCCCATGTGAAACCCTTTATGTCCTTGTCCTCTAAAGTCAGCATCACCTGTGTAAGAGAAAAGTGAGGGTGAGAGATGGGGCACCTAGTCCCAACTCTCATGTGACTCAAGGAGATAATGCCTGTGGAAACGTTAGCACATATGTAAGGCCCAGCAAATGCTCACTTCTTTGCCTTGATGAACCTGACAGCCTTATACACCTCTTCAGCAGACCTAAAAAACACAAGACATTTTCTGCAACTAACTCACTGGGTGATCTTGGGAATGTGGGGTCCCTTCCATGAGCCCCGATTTCCACCTCTGCAAAATGGAGGTTGGACTAGGCTCTCCCCAGCGTCTTCCAGCTCTGAAGTTCTAACCATTCAATTCTGTTAACATCCAACCCCTGGCCACAGAAGAGCCTCTCCATTGCTCTTTTTCAGTCAGCTCTTTGCCTCCTGAGATTTCAGAATGGGGACCAGGGGGAGATAATAAGACCAGGGTCTGAAGTACCCTTACTCAGTACCTGGCCTTCTTGCCTCAGGACCCCAGTTTAGATGGGAAGGGGTCCAACTGGCCAGAAGAAGGCCTCTGCTGAAAAGTGCGCAGATCATATGCACAAAAGAAGTTTCACAACTAGTTCCATAGACCTTCCTGGAGCCATAGGTACCCTCCAGGCCTGGAGGTCAAGGCCCTCAGTTAAGGATCCCTCATATCTTCTCCTTCACCACTGTCATTACAAATGCCTTCTTTTGAAGGAGTACCTGAGATGTAGAAGATAAGAGGTGGCCAGACTTGGCCCGAGAAGCTCTCAATTATCATCCCAGCTTCATCACTTGCCAGTTGTATAATCATGGGAGACTAGTTAAAACGCTCAGGAGTTTGGGTCCCCACTTGGAAAGGGAGGATACGACCCTTGCCCAGTGGGTCACTGGGAGGACCAGATGAAAAACTGCACACCGAAGGGTCAAGCACAGTGCTGGGACTCAAGAGCTTGGTTAAAGTTGAGAGGGTGAAAGGAAGGACCTCTCCTAAAATTCAAATATTTCTGTGGGAAAAGGGACTAGTGGCCATTCATAATCTAAGGGCAAATTTGTTCTAGTCTGCTTTCCTCTCTGCCCCTGCCAAGCATGGCAGCCCTGAGGAATGAGTGGAGAGGAACAAGTAGAGGAAGGAGAGGAACTGAGTGGGAGCCTGGGCATTGCAGGGAGGGCAGGCCTGGTTGTAATGCATCCAAATGGCACAGTGATGACCTGGCCACCTGGTGGTGCCGAAGGGAGGCATCAGGAGGTGAGGGACACACATGACAAGGGAGGTGAGAAGCACCTTAAGACAATATTCCTTCTTTCCAAGAGCTGTGCTTGGCAGCACCAGGGACTCAAGCTGTGCATGGAGACTGCAGGAGACAGAGTCCTCAGGGACTTAGAATAGAGGCACTGCTCTTAGCTCTCTGCACTCTGTGCAAATACCCTTGCTCACACCCAGGCATTAAGGCCCCTCCACGGTCCCCGATGCAGACCCCCCTCACTCCAGCTGGGGATAAGGAGTGTCTCTGAAGCTTTGAGAACTAAAGCAGAACAAGTGTAAAGGCAGAGGGCAATGGTGTGGGCACCCTCCCGGCTATACTGTTTATTGCTCCTCTTTGAATGCTGCCAGAGTGCTTTGGAAACGATCTAATGTGCTCTTCCTTTCTGTCACTCACCAGTTTTCTCTTTTCCTCACCCGAAAAATTGGATCCTTCTGTCTCTGCAAGGCTCCCCTTTCAATCTCCCCTCCACCCTCTCGGCAGGCTGATAAGTCACCTGAACTCCAGAGCCTCCGTTTCCTTTGCTCTAAAATGATGAAGTTGGTGGGACCAGAGTGTGAGTCCCAGCTCTAAAACTCTCCAGGTAGAAGTCATGGCTACATATTGATCCCCATGCTCTGGATGGGATTGGGGTACCCTGGACAATTTCATTGATGGTCTGTACCCCTTCTTATGTACTCCCTGCAAACTAAACTTGTTTAAAGCTGACCATTTCAGTCATTCTCTCCGTCACCCACACTCTAGCCAGGAGCTCATGCTAGCTTCTCCCCTTCTCCCATGCTTCCGAATCATTAGCCTCCCAGTTTTCACATTTTCCAACTACCCACCCTTCCTGCCCCCCACCCAGCATGTCTCCCTCAAGTCCTGGAGCACAGTCCACCCAAAGCATCTGTAGCTTCCATGTCTGGGGTCCTTCCCTGGGGGTACCTTCTCTGCTCCTCCAGGCCTTTTAAATTTCACTTCTGCAAAGCTCAGCTTGGTCCTGTACACTCCACATAGACCTCCCAGCCACCAACCATTATACATCCCCCCTACAAAAGTTAACTGTGCACTTACTGGACGCCCCATGCCCAGGTTAGGCCAATGCAAACAATTCAGGGACAAAAAAAGAGACAGGAATTTGCAGGCTCTTGGTAACTGCTGTAGAGAGAGACAGACAAACACATTCCATGATACAGTGCTTTCCTCTCCCCAGCCTGGGGTTACCATGGGGCCACCCAGAGTACCACCCCGTCTGCACCCCCATCCCAGTGAGGAGGACTTTGTCGGCCTTTCTCTGAAAATAGGCCAGGATCGTGTGTGGAACAGCTGTTACTGCTAGGACTGCATGAATATGCAGTTTGAGGAATGAACGGATATAGGCCAGACTCAAAGGACCACCAACATTTTAATATAAAAGGGGATTTGTAGATCCCTTTGTTCTGAAGAAACGGAGCAGGAGAGAAGGCTCCAGGATCCCAGTCAGTCAGAGGCAGCCATGGACCAGAAAGCCACACGGCTGCCCCTCCCACCTCACCAGTTGCTACTGGCCAGCAGTTCAGTTCAGTGATTTCCAAATGTGAAATTTATTGGAACCTGCAATTTTTTCCCAACAGGTATGTTAATATTCATGTGCGAGAATGGGAGAGAAAATGGAGGAAGGTAGGATTGCCAACTTTTTAATTTGCCAAGGGTATTCAAAACAAAACAAAAAATCTTATCATCTACTATCACGGACTGTTTTAATTATTATTTAAAAAGGACCTCAGACACTGGAAAGCAGAAGACCTGCATCTCCTCCCTGGGGCCAGGAGGGCATCTGAGAACTACCCACTTGGGTGGAGGGTCCTTAGCTAGGGTTGGCTCTGGGACAGCCTCCCTGAACCAACCCACAACAGCGTGAGTGCAGCCCTGTCACCTCCCCAGGCCCTGTGCATACCCGGGGACGCCTGGAAACTATAGGGGGATAAAGAGGTGGGTGACATAAAGTACACCTGGGTTGGAACAGGAAGAGACCAGGAGGGAACTGTCTTGGCCTCGAGAAGGAAGGCCACTGTTCCCATGCAACCTACCTCTGCCCAGAACTTCCATGGCTCCAAAGTCACAATGACATTTTCCAGATCCAAAGATGGGCCCCAATCTGGCCATCGGCCCCCAAACACTACCCTGTGGGTCCCAACAGCTCAATGGGTTATGTTTAGCCCTGGGAAGGTGGGTTGTCTGCTCCATGCCCTCCCCGTCTGGACCTATGAAGCTACCTCCACTCACCCTCCACTGGTTTCCCCTCCCTCTTCAGGGGCACCATCGGTTATCTCCGGGTCTCCTGGCAAGGCTCCCATCCAGGTGACCCCACTGCAGTGGCGCGAGCCGCCAGTGCCCCCCTCGTCTGCCCCTTCAGCCCGCGGTCTAGGCTGCCGTTGGCCTCAGAGGCCAGGCACTGGTATGCTTGGTCTTCAAGCAGAGTCCCCCAAGCCCTGGGGCCCTACGGAGGAAGACAGGCTCTCACGCCTCGGGAAGGTTGTCCAGCCGCCACTCACCTGGCCCTCCGATAGGGGAATCTGGCTTCAGGGGTTGTTCTCAGTCAGGCCTCGCTCGCCAGCCTGCAGAACAGGGTGCGGGTTAGAGCAGCAAGCTGAAATCCGCCAGCTCTCAATTTGAATTCCAACTCGGCCATTACCAGCAGAGTGACCTTGGGTAAGTTACTTCTGTCTTCTGGGTGTCAGTTTTCTCATCTGTGAAAGGGGGTTAATAATAGTAACTCCGCCCGACGGACCGCAGAAAGTATCCAATGAGAAGTGCCTGGAAAACACGTCCTCACGATTGACTGCCCCTCCCCCTGCCCCCCCCCACACTCCGCCCCACCCCTACACACAAAGAGACAGTGCTGCACAAACAGCAGCCTCGACTGGGAACCTGGAAGAAGCCCTGGGTTTCTGGAACCCCCTGGGGCCCTGCCAATTCACTCCCCTTCCCCAAGACCCTGGCTCCCAAACCGCCCCAGCCTTCATACTGCGCATGCGCTCTGATCTCCCTCAGGCCTTCCTAGCCCTGACGTTCATTCCCTTCGTTGCCCCCTTAGAATACCGTGTTTGAACCTCTCAACACCCGGGCTGGTTTTAAACTTTTCAAGGAGAGGGCACTCAGTGGAGGCAGGACTGGCTTCCAGACCTGGGGAGGGAGTGGGAAGGGGGACAGGGGTTGGTTCTAGTGACCAAAGCATCTACACTAGGAGCTGTATAAGTCACTAGCTCCCCTTGCTCTGAGTCTGTGCTCACCAAGAAAATGCATTTACAACTCGTAAGATTTTTGGACTCCAGGACCTGGACCATGTCTAGCACCCCTTCACAGCTCTCCACTAGGTATATAGTACATATTGAAAGACAACAGGAAGAGACAAGGGGCATGGACAACACTAATATGAGTCATCTATTATGTGATAGGCACATGCAGGCTTTATGCTATTCAGATTCTACCTGTCACAAGGTTTAGAACCCAATTTGTATATGTTCAGGCAAGAGAGGGCCTTCATTGGCTTAGCTGGGTCAAAGGAGAACAGCTGGCGAGGACTGGAGCCAGGCCAGGAACACCCCTGGACAACTCTCTGCCCTGATCTCAGAAAGGTAGCTTTGATCTCCTCATCTGATAGGGTTTTTCTAGGTATAAGGGAAAATAGTCAACTTCCAGACCCACACCCTCATATTTAGCCACCCTAGGGAAAAAGAATGTTTTCCTCACCCTATTCCCACCCCTCCTTGGTTCAAAATTTCCTAGGGAATCATTCATATTATCTTGGCTTGTCACATGCTCATTGTACCCTGACGTAAGATGAATCAGCTGTGCCCCACAGTGGCCAGGTAGTAGGGTCATCTAGGAAGCCAGCAATTTGGACCACATACTTGGAGCAGACTAGGTAGATCGTTGTTAAAGGAAAGAGGATAGTGTTCTCAGAAAGAGGGAGAAATGGTGGCAGACCATGACAGCATTTTCATATGCACTTTTATACATTACTTTTCAATGCCATCACACATCAAATACAAAAATGACAGGCACTAGACTTCCAGCCAAGATGGAGGCACAGGTAGACTCAATGTGCCTCCTCACACAACCAAAAGAAGGACAACAACAAATTTAAAAGCAAAAAACAATCATAACTGACAGAAAATCTAACTGTATGGAAGTCTGACAACCAAAGAGTTAAAGAAGAAACATTCATCCAGACTGGTAGGAGGGGCAGAAATGGGCAGTCGGGCAGAGGGGGCTGAGAGGACTGGCGGCTGACTGGAGTTCCAGGACAGGCAAGGCTGCGGCTGGTGACCAGGCAAGGCATCAGCTTACAGAGTGGGTGGTACCACATCCGTGTGCAAAGACACGGGGAGGAATAACTGGGGGGTAAGACAGACCGCACAACCCAGGGTTCCAGAGCAGGGAAATAAAGCCTCAAACCTCAGGCTGAAAACATCTGTGGGGGTTGAGGTGGCAGTGGGAGAAACTCCCAGCCCCACAGAAGAGTTCGCTGGAGAGACCCACAGGGTGCTAGAATGTGCACAAACCCACCCACATGGGAATCAGCACCAGAGGGGCCAATTTGCTTTTGTGTAGCGGGGGAAGTGACTGAAAACTGGCAGAGAGCGGAGCAGGCCACAGTGTTCCCTCTTGGAACTCTCCCCCACATACAGTGTCACAACATAGTGACCTGGTTGCCCTGGTGAACACCTAAGGCTCTGCCCCTTACAATGTAACAAGCATGCCAAGACATAAATAAATAAATAAATATATTGGGATATATTTATATATATCCCAAATCAAAGAGCAGATCAAAACTCCAGAAAAAATACAACTAAGCGACAAACAGATAGCCAACCTATCAGATGTACAGTTCAAAACACTGGTTATCAGGATTCTCACAGAATTGGTTGAATTTGGTCACAAATTACATGAAAAAATGAAGGCTATAAAAAGTGAAATAAAGGAAAATGTACAGGGAACCAACAGTGACAGGAAGGAAACTGGGACTCAAATCAGTGGTTTGGAGCAGAAGGAAGAAACATTCAATGAGAACAGAATGAAGAAATGAGAATTCAAAAAAATGAGATGAGGCTTAGGAACCTCCGGGACAACATTAAATGTTCCAACATCCAAATCATAGGGGTGCCAGAAGGAGAAGAGGAAGAGCAAGAAATGGAAAACTTATTTGAAAAAATAATGAGGGAGAACTTCCCTGATCTGGCAAAGGAAATAGACTTCCAGGAAGTCCAGGAAGCTCAGAGAGTCCTAAAGAAGTTGGACCCAAGGAGGAACACACCAAGGCACATCATAATTACATTACCCAAGATTAAAGATAAGGAGAGAATCTTAAAAGCAGCAAGAGAAAAGGAGACAGTTACCTACAAAGGAGTGCCCAGAAGTCTGTCAGCTGATTTCTCAACAGAAACCTTGCAGGCAAGAAGGGGCTGGAAAGAAGTATTCCAACTCAGACAGGCAAAGACCTACACCCAAGATTGCTCTATCCAGCAAAGCTTTCATGGAGAATGGAAGGGCAAATAAAGTGCTTCTCAGATAAGGTCAAGTTAAAGGAGTTCATCATCACCAAGTCCTTGTTGTATGAAATGTTAAAGGGACTTATCTAAGAAAAAAGAAAATAAAAAACATGTATAGTAAAATGACAGCAAACTCACAATTATTAACAACCACACCTAAAACAAAAACAAAACTAAGCAAACAACTAGAAGAGGAACAGAATCACAGAAATGGAGATCACATGGAGGGTTGTCAGCAGGAGAGAGGGAGGGGTAAAAAAATGACAGGCATTATTATTCCTGTACCACAGATCAAAGAAACTGAAGTTCAGGTTAAGATCTTGCCCAAATCATCATGGAGGTCACTAAAAGGTCATGGATGATTGCTAAAAACATTAGGCTGCAGAGGAATAGATTTTCACACTGCGCTGGAGCTTATCATCTTCACAAATTACTTACCAATGGCGAAAAGAAAACATATCTTTACATAGGATAGATCTTAAACAAGTGAACAAACAGCACTACTTATGGTGGAATAATCTGACATTATGTGCCTCCAAAAGAGAGAGAATGAAGACATATTCTTGCCAAAAATCTTTAATAAATCCACTAAACCAGGGGTGTCAAACTCATTTTCATGGGGGGCCTCATCAGTCTCGTGGTTGCCTTCAAAGGGCTGAAATAATTTTAGAAATGTATAAATGTAACTACTCCTTAACCATTAAGGAGTTGAAATTACATCCGTCCCTTTGAAGGCAACAGCAAGGCCGATGTGGCTCCTGGTGAAAATGAGTTTGACACCCCTGTTCTAAAACCTGCTCCAGTTTAGAGGAGCTATAGAGTGTTGAGGAGGGAGTTAAGCACCAGAGGAAAACAGAAGTCAGTTTTCTGAAAAATTCTGAAGGATAACTGTTCTTGACTCCTCCAAAAGTCATTGTCATTAAAAAAAAAAGTGTGGAGGAACTGTTCTAGATTAAAAAGAAACTAAAAAGACAAAACCAAATGCAATATGTGACCTTTGATTTTATTTTGATTTAAAATGAAAGAGGCATAAAACACATTCTTGGGGCTGCTGGGAAAAATCTGAAGATGGACTACACTTTAGATGGTATCATGGAATTACAATCATTTTCTTAGGTATGCTGATAGTATCATGATATGTAAGAGAATGACCGTAATCTTAGGAGAACCATGACACAGTATCTAGAGGTAAAGGTTATATCCAAGCTTACTTTCTAAAGATTCAGAAAAACAAGTATATAGATAAAAAGCAACTATGGAAGAGTTAATAGTTGTTCATTTAAGTGGAGGATATATAGGGTGTTCACTATACTATTCTTTCAACTTTTCTGTATATTGAAATCTTTCCCATAAAACTTTGGAAAAAAACAAAAAGAACTTATCTGAGAACATACCCACACACAGCTAGAACCTAAACTCAGGTTTATCATACAGCAGCTTGATATGAGTGCTTTCTCTAATAACAGATAGAGTGTTAGGTGCATACAGTCCCTGCCTTTACAGAGCCTGCAATCTAGCACAGAAGACAACAAATGAATACATCATTTTTTTTAAGTGTGATCAGTGCATAAAGGAACTATAGCATGCTATAGGAATTGCAGAACAACAAAAATTCAGTCCAAGGACTGCCAAGAAGGTGAGATTTAGACAGAATCTTATTCCCAAAAGGGCCTGCATTGTGCAGAGGCTTTCGCCTACTCTACTGCAAGAACTGTACATTGCAAGCTCGCACTCAGGACAAAAGTCTCACTTACCTCTGTTACACGCAATGCACATGGATGTTTTTTATTCCATTCTAGCCCTCCTTCTTTTTCCTTTTACCCTTAGTGCTGGTTGCAACTCATTGCAATAAATTAATTTTATAACCCACTATTGGCTTTTGACCTACAGTTGAAAAATATTGTGTTTAAGGACCCAAGGAATTTCAAAATGACTGGGAGGAGTGGCCACAAAAGGGCTGGAGAAGTTGATGGACAGAACTAGGATGTGAAAAGTCTTGTAGGGTTTCATCCTGAGGACCATAAGAGGCCTTTGACGGGATTTGGGCAATCACATTTGGGTGCTAATGCTCAAATCCCATCACGTCTCCTATTCCCCTTTGCCCAAAGACTCCTACACCTCTTTAGTCAGAGCAAAGGAGACACCTCTCACCCATGTGGATGCAAGGTATGGCTAGGGATTGCCAGGCCAGCACCTCCTAGGACTGGAAACTTTAGAATGTGTGCATAAGTTTAGGTTATAGCCTCCTCTGGAAGCATTTTCATATTTTTCCAGGCAAGGGAAGAAGGAATTGCCTGCTGGAAAAGTGGTTGGAGTACCCATGAGTTGGGGCTGGAGTCTCTAGGGTTCTGACTTCCCCCAGGCTCAGTGCTTTCCTGGTCCAGAGCTCCAAATTTGCCATTGGTTCTAGAGCCCAGAGCTGCCCAAACTGGAGTTTTAGTGGAAAATGAGCAGGTCCCTGCCCCTGTGAGGGAAACAACCCAATAGCTGGCTTCACCCCCAACACAAAGGGCCCCTCCCATTGCTCCTTCCTTCTAGCCTAGAACACCCTCTCTCCTTTCATATAGGCCCCTGATGCTCTCTATACTCCTGTCCCAGCCCTCTTGAAGCCCTCAGTGACTAAGCCACCAGACCCTATGTGGTCTCTGTGTCTTTCTCTCTCACCACCTGTGAAGCACTGATATCCTCTATTGTATAGATTCTCAACCTTGGTTGCACATTAAAATTACCTGGGAACTTACAAAATCCCAATATCCAGGCTATACCCCACAGCAAATATAGAATCTCTGCAATTGGGACCGAGTGATTCCAGTATGCAACCTAAGTCAACAAGTACTGGTCTGTTATGTCTTGTATTGTCTTGTTGCAGCTCGGAGCCCTGAGGGGCAGGAGATGGTATCACTATGCATTCACGTAACCAGATGTCCTGGTTTGCCCAGGACTGAGCATTTTCAGGTCAGACATTCAGTTCTAAGATTGAGAAAGTTCTGGCAAACTAGAATGGGTTGGTTGCCCTCACATTCACCTGACTGAGCACTAAAATCTTAGTGAACTAGTCTGTTCACTAGTGATACTTGTGCCCAAAGAACCATAGCCCCTCTGCTAGACAGTCTTTTCTTTCCTTTCCTGGCCTCCACAGGCATCTCTGCCCTTGAAGCCTGGTACATGACCCTGCACATTCACCTTGTCCTAGTGTCATTCCCTGCTGTGCTTCCCTGCCCATCAGAATCCTGCCCAGGCTTCACACCCAGCTCTTTAAGCCCTATCTCATCCTGAAGCTTCTCAGACTCCACAGGAGGAAAGAGCCCTTTCTATGGCATAAGGGGGTAGGGAGGGACTCATGCCAAGTTAAATATGTGGATACAGTAGCTCAGAGCTGAGATCTGGCCTATTAGGGTGTAAGTTCATACTCGGGACATCCAGATAGCAAGGGGGTCCTTAGAGCCAGGAGACCCTTATTTAATGTCAGTAATCACCTGTAAGTATGTCAAAGGACAGAAGGTGGAGGAACCCAATGAAGAGACTTAAGACAAACAAGAAAACCTTGGTTTCCAGTAAACAGATTCATTCCCCAGCCATCTACTGAGCACCTACTGAGTGCACAACACCAGACCAGGCAGGGAAGCTCTAGGAGAAAGGCAACCTTCAATTTCAAGAGTCCACAATGTAACTTTAATTTTCACTGATTTTGTTTTTAGATAATCACTAACCCAGACTAACTGGAGGAAAAATAATCTGGTTATTTTAGATGAAAAATAAGCATTTACAACAAAGCAGTTATTTCTCTCAGTTACCTAGAATAAATTTAATAATGTACTACCTAAGTAGAGGTACATTTGGAACTTCTTTTAATGATTAAATTATTCATGGTAAATGGGTGCTCACTTTTTTAAAATTTTTTTTTAGTTTTATCAGTCAATTAGGTATCACACTACTCAACTGCTTTGCAAACTTTTCCTCAACAATTATGTGATGGTCAAGCTCTGCCTCCAGATATAATGGAATTTTTGTTATAAAGGAGTTTGAACAGCAGCTTTTTCTGATAGGAAATCTTGAAAATTATTGTCTTTTTAAAAAGCAGCCAGAAGTTCATTATTTTTTCCATCCAGATATGAACCAAATATGTTTTTCTCATAAGGGCAGTAAGCATGTGTCACTAGGTCTCAGTCAGAGAAGCAGAGCCAGGAGGAGACGCGCGCGCACACCTGGCCCAGCTGCAGAGGTCAGTCAACAGGTCAACAACAAAGAATGTGAACTATGAAATAACTGCTGCTTTTCTTCTGCCCTCCCAACCTCCCAACAATCTCCTATAGCCGCATGAACTGAAACTAACAAGGAAAGGAATTCTGGCAACGCAGGTCAGGCTACCCAAGGACACATAACAAAGCCATGACATGTCATACTGAGAAAGTATTTGGCTTAGAAAAATCTGTGCATTTATGTCACATTAAACAAAGGGACTCAGCAGTCTGCAGGACACTGGGGAGTAAAATATAGTCCCAAGAAGACCCAAGAGCCATTTCTATCTACAGTTAAAACAAACAGGGCAGATGAGCTAGAAGAAAAGTGATTGGGTTCAAAGGTCACCTATTGTTTTCCTGACCTGAGAGTCTGAATCTAAAATGCCTCGATTCTTTCTTCCCTGAAATAGACTAACTCATTCCATTTTCAGAAGATAACTATGGTGATTTGAAAAGCAAACCACAGAATCTCCATCTGATGGAGATCCTCAATAACAAAGGAAACTAGTACTAAGGTTCCACTTTACTCATCAGCTTTGTAGTGCTGCATTATGCCCCTTCTGTGCCCTTCTCTATACACCACTGGGTTTTTCCCACATTCGTCATTCCTCCAAAGTGAACCTGCTGAGCTGAATAAGGCAGGAACTCAATCTAAAGGTTTTCATACACTGAACACACCTATGAGATCTGTCTACTATGTGGATTTTTCTATCTTAATACAAATAAGACCTGAAGTAGGTGTAAAGGCCATCCACACTCACTATACCCCAGTGTGAGTTCTCTGAGGTTCAACTGGAGCTGAACTCCAACCAAAGGTAATACCACCTTCTTTTCATCCAGTTTCTCCCTTGCATGAATTCCCAGATGATCAATAAGGTATGAATTACTCTTGAAGGTTTTCCCACGTTCTTTAGATTCAGAGAGTCTGACTCCACTGTGAATTTTCTGGTGCTGAACAAGGTGGGAGTTCTGACTATAGGTCTTCCCGCATTCACTACATTCACAGGGTCTCTCTCCAGTGTGAATTGTGACGCTTAATAAGGAGTGAACTCCTACTAAAAGATTTCCCACCCTCATTAAAATCATAAGGAGCCTCCCCTGTAAGGACTCTCTGATGTTCAATAAGGTGCAAATTACAACTCTAAGTTTTCCCAGTTATTGCATCCCTATGGTCTCTCTTCGGTATGAACTCACTGATGTTCTATTAGATTTGAGCTCTGACTAAAGGCCTTTCCATATACAGTACATTCATTGGGTTTCTCCCTAGTGTGGATTCTCTGATGTCGAATAAGACTTGAACTCCAACCAAAAGCTTCCCCACAAGCACTACCCATGTAAGGCACCTCTCCTGTGTGAGTTATCTGATGCTGGATAAGGTGTGAGCTGCGCCGGAAGGTTTCCCCACACTCACTACATTCATAGGGTTTCTCTTCAGTATGTATTCTGTGATGGTGCATAAGGTTTGAACTATGGCCAAAGGCTTTTTCACATTCATGACCCTCATAAGATTTCTCTTGAATGTGGATTTTTTCATGCTGAATAAGGTATGAGCTCTGCCTGAAAATTTTTCCACATATATTACAGAGATTTCTCTTCAGTAAGAATTTGTGGCTGTTGGATAAAGTCTGCAATATTTCCAAAGTTCTGTCCATATTCAAAGGTTCCCTTGTGTTTGTTTTGTTCACATTCATCTCCTTCATGTAGTCGTATCCCTACTGCAAGAATTTTCTGCTTTATAATTAATGATCCTCAGTCCAGGTCTCACCATCTGACAGAAAATATAAAAAAGGTAAATGTAACAAAAAAAAACTTCTGGTGGGAAAAAGGATAATCAAAGTATACCAGAAGTATCTGATTCCAAAAAAAGTAAAAAAAAATGACCTTGCAATGTAGGAGAAAGACTGATACAAGTTGAGCAGTTTTGGAGAAAATTAGAATTTATATATGAGGTAGCCAACCAGACAGAAATAGTGGGATTAACAAGAGAAAAGCAGAGTTTGAGGGAAGCGTGATGTGTCAGACCATAGGACAGGTGATGTTGGGAATATGTGTGAGGAGGGAGGGGCAAGGGCTGACTGCACAGATAAATACAGCAGGAGAGCCTCATCTCAGAGGTTCTGTCCACATGGTGCCCCAGCCACAGGGATTGTCTGTGCTGGAACAGAGAAGATTCCCCTCACCTAATCATACCCCAACACCTTCTTCACTCCTGTTGAGAGTCTCTCTCTAGACACAGATGCTCACTCACAAACATAGACACACTCAGATCGTATATGCACCTTTTAGAAATAGTGTGAATTGGGAGGATTTGATGAAGGTAGGTAGGGGGAAGAATAGGAGAAAAAGTTGTTTAAAATATGAGGCATAGTACAGAGAAACATTTCCAAATCTACTTCAACTCTAAGAGAATATATAAAAATAAATTCTGTACCCTAGTTGTATCTAAGGGAGACGTGATAGAAAACATCTCCCATTTACTTTAATACAATAAGTTTTACTTATTAAATGGGGGGCTTACTGAAGCAAGTGAAGTTGTTTTGCAGTGATACTGGAAAAAGCAGGTCCTCTGCTTAGAGGGATCTTTCTGGAAGACGGTGCTGAGGAATTCCAATGCAGCATTTCCATTAGCAGTGAAAGCCTAAAACACATGCAGCCCTGATTTTATTAGATAATGGTCACTGCCTTTAAGGGACTTAATAGTTATTTGTGATATTATCACAGAACCATATTGACATTTATTCCACCTCCAGATCTGCCCTCATCTTCTGCATGTTCAATTTGGATCCCGGAGGGTATGGGGGCGGTTACAAGTTCCTTCCTGTGATGAGAACTTGTAAGATCTACTCTCTTAGCAACTTTCAAATATTCAATGGCATTGTTAGCTATGATCACCATGTTGCACATCGCACCAGCAGGACTTATTTATTTACCTTATAACTGAAGTCTGTACCTTCTGACCATCTTCATCCAATTCCCCCAACTACCACACCTCACCTCCAGCAATGACCAATCTAATCTGTTCTGTTCATTGTTCACGTATCTTTGAGTTTAGATTTTTTAGATTCCACAAGTGAGATCACACAGCATTTGTCTTTCTTTGTCTTTTTCAATAGCATAATGCCCTCAAGGTCCATCCATGCTGTCACAAATGGAAGTATTTTCTTTTTTAATGGCTGAGGGACATTCCATTGTATACTTACACCAGTTTCTTTAACCTCCTTAGGTTGTTTCTATGTCTGGCTATTGCAAATAATGCTGCAACAAACATGGTGATGCAGAGAGCTTTTTAAGACAATGATTTTCTTTCCTTCAGATAAATACCCAAAAATGGATCATATGGTAGTTGCATTTCTAATTTTCTGAGGAACTTTCATACTATTTTCCATAATGACTATACCAATTTACCAGGAGTGCACAGGGTCCCTTTTTCTCCATATCCTCAATAATTGTTATCTTTTGTCTTTTGGATGACAGCCATTCTAATAGGTGAGAGTGGTTTAATATTTTTATATCCCTTGCTCAGATGTTTGCCTTATGTGTCAGACAGACTGCAAGCTCCCAGGGAGCAGGGACTACATCTGACAAGTTAGGTGTCTAAAGACTGATCACGACAGCAATCAGGTCTAAATACTAGCAGGACAATTCTTGTTAGCAAAGTACCATAATGAACACAAGTCACTCACTAATGCCTAGAGTAGCACAATCCAACAGAACTTTCCATGGTTATGGAAACTTCCCACTTCTGTGCTGTCCAAGATTGTACCCAATAGTGCCTAATGAGCACTCAGAAGGTGGCTAGTGCAACCAAGGAGCTGAATTTTTCATTGTATTTCATTGTAATTAAGTTTAGTTAGCCATTTATGGCTAGTGGCTACCCTACTGGACAGCATAATTCTAGAGCTTTCTAAATCTGCCAAATCTGTCCTGCAGGGCTTGGGGCACCTAAACTTAGAAGCCTTTCAAAACTGGATTCATTAATTAGGATGAAACATTAAGAAAAGAGAATGAATGGAGCCTCCATCAGTTCACAGACAAGTGAAAGGGTAATAACTTGGACATTCCACCACTTGGACTTGGAATACTTCATAATTGCCTTCTGTACTTGGCTTAGGCAAATATGAAAATGAAAGCTTCTGCTATGTCTCCCTGGCCTGGCCCCTACCTGTCCTTCCAGTCTCATCCTGACCGTCTCCCCTACACACTCTTCTACTGTCTGCTGAACAACTCTATTCATTCTCTATCACAACACGTGAAGGCTTAGACATTCTAGAGGATGTGCCTACTGTTAGAAATTTAACAGCCTGCTGGACATATTCAAATAGGTAACTCTTACTGCTTTTGGACCCTGTTCAATATCACCTTCTCCATGAAGCTGAAGGTGATCCTTCTCCTATCACTCCTGAAATACTTCTCATCTTTTCAAGTCATATGGCACTTCACTCATTCACATTCATTCAGTGTATGTGCCACAACATGCCACATACCATTCTGGGCTCTCAGATATATCAATGAGCAAAACAGACAAAAATCCTGCCCTCTAAGATCTTTCATTTTAGTGAAAGAGGTGGATAATATCAATTATATACTATTAGAAGGTGATAGAAGTGCTATAGAGGAAAAAAGCAAGGAACAAGGATTAGAGTGCCAGGTGGAGTGAGTGGGTGGAAGAATTGCAATTTTACATAACATTGCCAAAGAAGAACTAAGAAAATGACATTTAAGCAAAGATTTGAAGTAGATAAGGGTATCTAGGAAGAAGTATTATACACAGAAGAAATAGCAAGGCAAAGGCCCTTGATGTTCAAGGAGGCCAAGTGTGACTGGAGTGGAACGAGCAAGGGGGACAGTAGTGAGAAGTGAGGTCAGACACATAAAAGGGGGATCTGTGAGTACAGGACCCTGCAGGCCCCACAGTAAGAGATCTGCATTCACTGAGTGAGACTAGAGGACACTGGAGGGTTCTGACCAAAGGAAGACAAGATCTGACATTTCAGCAGGATTATGCTGGCAGCTGTGTTGAACACAGGCTACAGGGAGGTAACAGCAGAGACAGGACAACGAGCCAGGAGGTTATTTCAATAATCCATGTGAGAGAGATGATGGTAACTTAGCCGGATATGGTGGCAGAGAAGTACTTGGATTGTGAAAAAATGTCGATGGTCTCATCAACAGGATTACTGATTAATGGATATGGATATGAAAGAAACAAAGGTTTCCCTCTGGGTTGAGGAGCTAGAGGGGTGACATTCCCATCTACTGAGATGGGAGTATTTCTAAGCCAGCTATAGCATCTCCAATAATCTAAAAAGACATTTCCATGTGGTTCTCATACCAGTCCCAAATCCACCACTCCTCCTGGTGTATGAGTATTTGGTATAATATTCTTGCGAGTCTCCTGTAAGTTTCATGGCTTTAACACCTTTCAAAATAAAAAAGGGGAGGGGAAACCCTAACTGGGTTGCTCAGTTGGTTAGAGCATTGTCCTGATACACCAAGGTTGCAGGTTCAATCTCTGGTCAGGGCACATACAAGAAGCAACAAATGCATAAATAAGTGGAACAACAAATTGTTTTTCTCTAATATCAAGAAAAATTAAAAAATATATATTTAAAAAAGAAGGAAAGGGCAACAAAGACTCCTTTCACTGCTCCACATCCATTCGGTAAACAGTACTATTGATAGAGAACTCAAGACTTGGAAAATTTTAGCTTAAGGTAAAAAGTTGTAAGTCTAGCAAGTAATGTGTATGTTAAAGCTTTTGTTTCAGAAACCACAGATAAGGCCCATCCTGGCTCCTGGGAAAACAGCCAGCCTTCTGGGGCAATCTGGACCTTTTTGTGCTCCAGGAAGATACAGATGACCACCATTCCTGAGAACAGCTAAGTGCCCAGAACAGGAATGCTGCAGCCTTGCTTACCTAATCCCCCCTGAATTTCAAAGCCCTCACTGCATCTTGTTTATCCACCCTCCCCCACCTTATAAAAGGTCTGGCCTGGAAAGAAAAGACAGGATGGCTTGTTAGGGTATGAACCGACCATCTTCGCAGATCACTGACCATCTGAATAAAGTGCCCATAAAGATTCAATCATTGTCATTGCTTATTGGATTTGGTAGTGACAGGCAGCCCGAATGCCGGTGTCTTTTCCGGTTACACTATTGCTTCTTCCTGTTCACTGTTAATGTCCTAAAGTCAGATCCTAACCACTCCCCATCTCCCTAAACAAATGAGATTCTCTATCTTGATAGACAACACTCAGTTGTTCAAAGCTAGCATACCTCGATATCTCTGCCTACAAAACCTAAACTCTGGCCTGGAATTCATTTTACACCATCTCACTCCACTCTACCTTTACAATCTCATCCCCATCACGTCTTCTCTTTGCAGCAGTTAATCTGAACTAACACCTCCCCAACATTTATCCCCAGGCATTTCCTTCTCTTCTCTTCCAACCTATCAAAATCCTATTCATCCGTCAAGACCCAGCTCAAATGCAGCTCCTTTTTGAAATTTATCCTACTCCAGCCCCTAGCTGGAAGTGGTTTCTTTCCTTGGAATTTCTAAGGAATATAGTTCCTATATCCCTCAGGGCATTTAATTAACCTCATTGTCTTTGGACCTTAGAAATAGCTTTAGTTTTGTGTGTTCCCCTAAATTTATAATGAAAGGATCAGAGTAAAAGATGTCTTCCACTTCTTTTTCTCCAACCTCAGGACTAGGTAAAGAACTCTTTATGTATTAGGTGTTTAAAAGTGCTTCTGATTATTTCCCAGCAATCCATTAAAAGGATGTTCTACTCCATCTACAAAAGAATCTATAAATCACTGAGGGTCCCAAATACATTATTTATAAAAAAAACTCTTCAGGACTGAGACACAAGTAGAATTCAGACAGGCATGTCCCCTCATGGCATGGCCCCCTCAGCAGACAGGGGCCAGTCTGAGACAAGAGGTAGAGAAACACAAGAGCAGCTGCTCCCTGGAATAACAGGCAAATAAAGGGAGAAGCAAATATATGGCATTCTCAAGTAGGTAAGCCACAGAACTGTATGATCCCAGCCCTGACCGGTGTGGTTCAGCTGGTTGTGCATCATCTCACAAAGCAAAAGGTCACCAGTTCAATTCCAGTTCAGGGCACGTGCCTGGGTTGCGGGTTCGGACCCCAGTTGGGGTGCATGAGAGAAGCAACTGATCAATGTTTTTCTCTCACAATGATGTGTCTCTCCCTCTTGATAGGGGCTTAAGACTTAGGAAAATTTAGTTTAAGGTAAATAGTCATAAATCTAGCAAGTAATGTGTATGTTAAGTTTTTGTTTCAGTAACTACAGATAAGGCCCATCCTAGCGCCTGAGAATAAGCAGCTGACCTCTTGGAGACATCTGTACCAGGAAGAAGCAAGGGACTACCCTTCCCCCCTTGGAGGCAACTGTTGAATTTCAAAGGCTTTCGCTGACACCTTGTTTGCCCTCCCCCAACCCCCTTATAAAAGATCTGGCTGGGAAAGAAAGAGTAAGATGGTTTGTTAGGGTATGAACCCGCCATCTTCTCAGATCGCCGGCCATCTGAATAAAGCACCTATAAAAGATTCAATCACTGTCATTGCTTAATTGGATTTCGTAGTGACAGGCAGCCCGAACGCCGGTGTCTTTTCCGGTTACACTCTCTCCTTCTCTCTAAAAATAAATAAATAAATAAATAAAATTTCTTTTAATAACATGTATGATCCCAGATACATTTACTTCTAACAGCAGAAGAAATGAGCAATGCTTTTTAAATGCCCCCCCCCCAAAACCCATGTCCACCTGGAACCTCAAAATATGACTTTATTTGGAAACAGGGTCTTTGCAGAAGTAATTAGTTAAGATGAGGTCATAATGGATGTGGGTGGGTCCTAAATCCTATGATAGGTATCTGTACAAGATAAAGGAGAGGCAGATTCACACACAGAAATGCACAGGGGAGAAGGCTGGGAGATAGGGATTGGAATGATGTGACTACAAGTGAAGGAACACCAAGGATTGCTAGGAGCCACCAGAAGCTAACAGTCATGGAAAGATTCTTCCCAAGAGCCTTCAGAGGGATCTTGGCCCTCATGGACTTCTAGCCTCCATGACTGTGACAGAATACAGTTTGGTTGTTTTAAGTCATAAATTGTAATAATTTGTTACAGCAGTGCTAGCAAACTAAGGTGCTTCCTGTTTGATTTTCACCAATCAACAAACATATGAAGCACCTATGTACAAGATACCAATATAGGTATTAAAAAAGATATATATGACCAAAGCGCTTCAAAGCACAAAATTAGGAGTGACAACCTCTACTTAGGTAAGTTGGGTATGGCACCCTCAAAGAATGACATTGAGCTAGGTTTTGAAGTATGACCAGGATCAACAAGGTAAAGTGCATTCCAGGCAAACATAACAGTATATGTTAAGGCTCAGAAACCTAAAAGGGAATACTAAATTTAAGGTATAGTGAAAAAAATTTCCATGTGACTGAAATGTAAGCAGAAGACATAGCAGAAAAATAGAATAAGAGCCAGATAATGAAGAGACATATAAGCCACACTCAGGATTTTGGACTTTATCCTATAGGCAGAGAATATGATCAGACTTGTTTCCAGGGAAGTTTATTCTGGCAACTGTAGGGGGGAGTGGGGGAAATGACCAATAGCATAGGAATGTTTCAACAACCTAGAAAAAATGCAGTGGGTCTAAATGAGGAAGTAGCAGTGACAGGCAACAGAATCAGGTCTTTCTGAAGAAAAATTGGTAGGATTTAGTAACTGAATATGAAGGGAAGGAGAACAGTATTGGATGACTACAGGTTTTCTGGCTTGGGAAAACCAGTTACTAAAATTAACCAAGGTAGTCAGAGGAAGGTAGGGTGATATAGGCTACGGCAGAAAAGGATGAGCTCAGGAGCTCAGAAGGGAACCTATGAACATGTAGTACTCAGGCATCAGCTGGAAGCAAGAAAAGCTCACAGAGGTAAATGAAGCCATGGAAGGAGATAGGATCACCTATAAGAGTGAAAAGAGGAGGGGGCTGAGAACAGTTTTGGGGAAAATCAATGTTTAAGGAACAGGAGAAATAGGAATGATAAAGGCCCTGAGTAGAGGCAGACCAGGAGAAAATGGTGCTTCCAAAACCAAGGAACAAGAGTTACAAGGAAGAGAGATCACAACAAAAAAATAGTAAGGGGTCAAAAAATTAGGGCTGAAAAAAATGTGTTCAGTGGGTTCATTAGGTAAGCCACTGGCAGCCTGGATATAACCAGTTTTAATGAAACAGAAGCAAAGCACTGTGTTGAAAAGTGAATGGCAATTACAAAGATATTAGCAACTGGCAAAAGTTTTTTTAAAGAGGTAAAACAGTGAAAGGAACAAAGGTGACTGTAGCCAATTGCCCTCTGCTGCTCAGTCAGCCACCAAGTCTCACAAGTTCAGGTGTAAATGTCTCTTGCATCTGATTGTTTCCTTCTTCACAGCCCCAGCCTGTTTCAGAAGCTTCATGAAAGAGGCTATCCTGCACTGAGTCGTCACGCATGGGATCTTGAGATGCATGGGGTTTGGGCAGGCAGAGAATGTCGGAAACAGCAATGCATGTGACTAAGAGGACACAAATGCACAACAGTGGGTAGTGCAAAGTGCCTTCTGCATTACCCTGTGCAGACACACCACTCTTGCTGAGTTTGTCTTGGGGGATACTGAGGTAAGACTTTAAAGCTGGGCTGAGACTACTGTAGAGAACTCAAAATATAAATAATGAGTATTTAAGAAGGTGAATATGGGTACTTGGTTTCTTATAAAGACTAATAGCAAGGAATCCGTGGTAAGGATCTATTCTATCCTCTCTCATCAAAAACTGATTCCTTTCTTACTCTAAACCCTTCCAAAGGCCAAACTCATAGCTTTCTAAGGGTTCTGGGGCTACTACCCAGTTCACAGGGATCTCTTCTTGTGGATTTCTACACTGTTTATTGTCCTATGGCCTCTCAATAGTTAACTATTCCAACTCAACTCTGAGCTCATGGGTCGTTAGGAGTTACATTTCCTTCCAAGTTAGTCTCAACACCTCATAATAGTAACTGAATAAATACTTGTTAAATGAAATATTAGCCTGAAAATATCATTAGAAGACTACATATATGAAAGAAAAACCTCTCTAAACATAAGCCATCTCCAAGTCTATGATGTGCTTTATGTAAACCTTTGTCTCTCAATTAAATCATCAAGTCCACTCTTTTTTTAGTGGCCAGACATATACACCAGAAAAAAAGGTGAGATGAAAGACTGATATTAAACTGAATATTTATAGTTTAATTTCATTTTCCATCAGCAGGTGGCTGGCTTGTCTGCTGTATTCCATAGGCAAGCACCTTCTTGCAGTTTATACCTTGAGTGGAAAATGTATCTTCCCTAATGGTGAAAGAGAGCTTGGGAGGATTCCACTCTTTTCCTGGTGCTTGGGGTATGGGATAAACTTTGCTGGATTCATTCACTTATTTATCCATACGGCATTGGATCTGAGCTTCTCCAAAGACCAAGCAAGTTAGCAGGTGCTGGAATGACAGCTCCTCAAGACTTAGTACTACGATCGTGCTCCTGTAGGTTTGCTCAACACAGTCAGAGAGGAAACATTAGTTATAGGCTTCACTTACATGCAGTAGAGTTTTAGATAATAATAAAAAAAATTGGTTGTCTTGCACCAGGGCTATCCTAAGTGTAACATTAATTGTGTCTATCTAATCAAAGGCCGTGGTTAGGAGGACAGTTTAGACAAAGAAAGCTAGTTAAGTCAGCTTCTCACCCTTGCTCTTTCGAGGCTTCTGCTCAGGGGATGGAAACAGGGACTCCAGAGACATCTGTTCAGGAAGCTTCTCCATGGGCTGAGTCCAATCCCCGGTGCTGCTCCAAGGCTAAATCTTCTCTAAAAATTCTTCAGAACACGACACAAAGGATGGGCAGTCACTTCAGGAAAGGGTGGGAGAACGGGTCAGATACAGGGAAAACAGCAGGTGAAGCCTTCCCAGGAGAGACTCCCAAGCCAGGTGAAGGTCTGAGAAGCTTCATTCTCTCTTCAGGTCAGCTGGGTCCTGCCGTGAGGTCACCAGGCCCACAGCACTGGGAGGCTGCGCCCAGGCAGGCAGGACCCAGCAGGTTCCTGCAGCCCCACCCCAACTCCACACGAGTCCCCCCCCTCCCAATCTGAGCCCACTGCCATAGTAGGAGCTTGCCACCTGCAGTGACGCTGGCCACCCCACTCTCCTCCCAGAGCCTGGGGTCGCTGAACCCCTATACTCACTAGCTCAGGCCGATCCATGCGCTCCACAGTGCTGGCGACTTCGCCCTCCTGTGGGAGTCTGGAAAGTCGGTTCTTTGGTGTGCACTTCCGGGTCCCATCTAGGCGGTTGGAGGTCTAATCTCGATCACTGGTGTTCCAGGGGCTGCTGAGTCCAGAACGGCGTGGGGGTGGGGACCTACTTCACTGTTCTTTCCCCCGGAAGGATTGTAGCAGGTTGGGGCAGATTACTCTACATACCCTTTATCGACTAAGTGGATGGAGGATCTAAATCGGTTGTTTCCTTTTCTCATCCTCTCTATCCATGTGCACCCCATTTGCCTCCTCCGCCTGACTCCAGCCCTGTGTTACCACCCACCTCCCCGCTCCGTTCTTCAAAATCACAGGTCAGTTTGACCCGTGGGGTCCAAATTCACTTTATCTAGGTCCTCGGTCCACCCTGTCCTTCTCTCACTTTGTCTCTTCAACGCAGCCCCTCCCAGTTTTGCCTGGAGTATATAAATAAGCAGGAGGAACACACTGGTACCAACACCGATATGAAGAGAAAAAACCTTAGAGGTCAAGATCCAAAGACCCTGTGCTGTAGGCACACCTGCAGTACAGATTTGCCAGAGGCACATTTGATATGTTGAAGCTCGAAAAGGGGTTAAGCAAATGAGTTGTTTAAACAGCAGCTACCAGTTGTAGAGCATTTAAACTGCCATTATCTCATTAATCCTTACAACTATCCCATGAATTTGGTACTTTACTATCTCACATGCCAGAAGCTGCAGTTAGTAAGCAACTAGTGGCAGCATTTGAATCCTGCTGTATACAAATCAGAGCCTGGTGTCTATTGCACCCTGGGGGGACAATGAGAAAGACTGGGTAGAAATTTGTAGTATGTGCAACCACAGAAAAGGAAAAAAGACAGACACTTATGATTTTGCCCAAGTTATATATTTATAAACATGAATGAAATACAAGAGATTAACCATTTTCTAAAAGTGAAGAGTGAATAGGATGCATCAGCAAAATAAAAAACTCCAGCATTATTTTCTTATTAATTTGTACAGGGCACCATCTGATTTCTGATTGAAATCACTCTTACAGTCTTGGTTTAAACAATGGTTCCTTCTTGCACTATTTTGAAAATGTGATGTCATATGATAGAAATTTTAGAAGAGACAGCTATCAGTTGCTGACTCCAACAGGGAGTGACCATCAGGAGGCAGTTTCTACCACAGCCCAGGATGCCTGATGATTTCTCTAATCATATTCACTGGCAAATGCTCCAAACCCAGGGCATCCCACCCTGGACAATGCTAGTTCTGCACTGTTAAATGTTTGCTTATTAATTCCCTCTTTAGATTTTACTTCTATCTAAACATCTGTCTTCTATTTTTATTGGGTTTTACTAGTATTTATAGTAATAACTTTTTGGCACTTACTATATGACCAGCACTTTTTACATTATGTTTAATTTCCATGCTGTTATTAACCATATTGTATAGACAAAAAGGCTTAGAAAAGTTTAAGTAAAATTTCCAAAAGTCACACAGCTAGTAAACAGCCAAGTTCAAAGCTATTGCTTTGACAACTAATCTGTTAGTCTTACTCAGTGGATGGCTTCATTCATTCGATTAGGTTAACTGTACCCTTTGGCTACCACTGAATATCATAGAACTTGGCAATTGTATTACTGAATGAAGGGATGGATGAAGTTACATTTCTAGAGCCTCACATTTCTAGATTCTCACATCTCTAGATTACATTTCTAGATTCTCACATTTCTAGATGTGAGAATCCCACACTTTACTGAGATGACACTACAGGAGTCTCTTTTGAACTTTGCTCTTAAACTTCATCAGTTTCCCCCATACTATTCCTAGGGTGAGGCATTTCTCCAGAGGGCTCATTTATTACCCTGAAAATGCCATACTCTTTCATCTGTAGGCCTGCTGGCATGCTCTTGCCTGAAATACTCTCCTTGCTCCTCTTCCAACATACCCCATATTTCTCCAGTCTCTAGATACTCTTGCTCAAGCCAGAACCTAGGAATCAAACTTGATTTCCCAAATACCTGCTTTGTTCCACTGCTATAACCAGAGGTGACAGTAAATCTTCGTAAAAATACATGTCCATCAGCAAGTTCTAGTTAGCAGCAAAAATTAAGAGCACATTTGGGCATTGAAAAATGGATATGTAAATCTAGTCATGGGAGTGGGGTGGCTTGGCAGGAGATAGGAATTTGGGAGCTTTGATCTGTGGCCTGACATTGTCAAAATTGTCTAAGCCTGTTTCAAATAGGGGAGTCTCTGACTAGCTCCCAAAAGATACTGGGATATTTTCTCCTAGTATTTTCTCAGAGAGCTTTTAGGACCAGTTGCAGACTGGTAACAGTGAACCATTGGGGTGTGACAAAATGAAGAGCCATCAAAGAAAACTTCTCTGGTTGGTGTCTAATACCAACTTCAAAATGATGGAAAGTTTTGGAGCCAAACAGACCTGATTTTGAACTTGCTGTGTGACCCTAACAAGTTCTTTAATCTCTCTATACCTCAGTTCCTCTGTGAAATGAAGCTAGTTCCCTTGCAGAGTTGTTGTGAAGATTAAATTTGAATGTGTACATACATACATGTACATGTACGTGGACAGAGAGATAGTAGATAAAATTAGGTGTCTCTCAACTATTAGATTTCTTCTCCTCCCTCTCCAACATCAAGACTAAAATGACTAAGAACACAAACTAATATCATACTGTACCAATAATTACCATCAAGCTTAAAGTAGCCTTGAAGATATTTGGTTTCTAATTTTTTTAAATGTGTTTATTTTTTTAAAAACACACTCTGCTTAGTTCTACAGAAACCTCAAATGACTTACTCTTATTTTATGTACTGACAGCATCCAACTGAATAACCCTTTAAATCCTAAACATTCAGACTTTATTCCTCAAGAGTTCTGTGGAAGAGCAAGTATCAGTACACAGGAGAGTGATCTACTCTTGTGAAGCAGGTTTCTGGAAGAAACTGAGGCGCAGCCAGGACGGTGATTTCAAGAATTCCACATGCTTTGGCTAAGGCCTTCAGGTTTTATTTGAAACAGATTCTCAGAGTATCAAACACACCTTTATTCAAGTGGAGGTACAAAAGCACATTGCTAAACCAAATGCATACATGTGATTTTTATATATTCTGCTATTTAGAGATTACTTAGTCCTGTTTCATAATCATTGGAGTTGACTATTATTCTCTAAACATAAGATTATACAGTCATTGACAGGAAAAAAACATGCATTTTTATTTGCTTTTACATTTAGATCAATTGATTTAAATCTCTACCTTGCCCTGATTAGATCCTATGCTTGCTGATGGCTAAGAGGTAAAATATAGTGGTAGAACTATCCTAGAGTTTAGCCATAAAATGCTTATAAAGCAAGCAATAAATTTGTATATATTTGTTAAGAATCCCTCAGAATATTACAAGACCTGAACTATGAAGGCCTCAATTGCTGGGATGACAACTAGAATTTTAAATAACACTTATTCACAAAATATTAAGAAGCTTAAGATGGAAAAATATAGTAAAATGCTTTGACATCATCTAAGAATTATGAACTGTTGCTAGGTGTTATAATGGTAAGCTTGAAATCTGAAGCCAACATCTGTGATCACTTTTATCAGTCAAGAAAATCATGTTCTTTTATATGGCCTGTAGACTCTAGTAAAATACAAAAAAACAATGTGATAATTAGTAAGTAATTATACACAAAGCCCCCACACTTCAAATACTGTCCTGGACTGATGAGGGTTGATTGGGCATGAAAATCCAAATAGACAAAGAAGCAATCTTAACAGTTAAAATTTTATAATACCAGGAATATAACTGCCATTGTCTTGAAATACTATATAAAAACAGCAATATCTTTGTTGGAAGGCTGAGCTCTCTGCTTTATGAAGCTCTCTAATCTTTGAGTATATGTTCTTTATGTTTTGCCATATTAAAAGCAGACCCAAGCATTTTGTTGGCCTTCAGTGGAAGTATATAAAGTAATTCTAAACTCAGACATGCAGAGTGGATGCTGAATGAATGAATGTAGCTATATCACCAGGAGTCTTGCTGGCTCCCTGATGTTCTCCTCCTCTTTTAGTGGGCTGTGGATGCAAACAGTTCAGCTAAGAACTTGAGCATCACTTGAAAATGTTTAGCTGCCTACCATAAACTCAGGGGAACCAGACTCCTTCATACATGAGTGAACAGGATGTGGAAATCCAATTCTTTTAAAAGAAGATGCTTTCCTTTGGGAAAGACACCAGAACAACAGCATCAAGTAGGGGTGGCATACTTGCTGGTGAAAAGCTTAAAACCAGGAAACTGTCATTTGAAGGCGCTTAAGAAAATGGAAACATCAACAGAAATCCAAGTGTTGCAGCTAGAAACAAATAGGACGTATGGTCCCCAGAAAAGAGCAGGCCTGACAATGTTTTTGAGAGAACTTGGGCTGAGAACAGCAAAAAAAGCTACATGAGCCACTTTCCAGACACTGACATGTTTTAACATTGGTGTAATACAGTATCTTCAGGAGGCTGTGAATAATACATACCAATTTCAGGAAAAATAAAAATGTTTATAGGCCATATTAAAATAAAAATAGCTTAAATGAATTTCATAAATAAAGTATACATAGTTACTTACAACACTTATTAAAGAATGCCATGAGAAAACAGCACTGCATTCACCATGTCACTCCTTAGACTAGATTCTTCTGCAATGAAAGACTGGGAGTATATATTAACGATTTCATATACAAATAATCAACAATTTTCTCTCCAGTATTTTGATGTTGAGTAAAGCCAGAAATATGGCAGTAAATTTTTCCGTTTGAATTATATCAGATTCTGGTCTGTTATAGATATTCTGATGATGAAAAAGACTTGGAACTCCTATACTCAATGGCTTCTCTTGGGTATGGATTCTTTGATGTTGAATGCAGATTGAAATATGACTGATCTTCACACACACATTTATTACATTCATAGGCTTTCTGCATGGAATGAATTTGATGCTGAACAAGGTAGTTTCTTTGACTGAAGAAGGCTTTTTCACATTTATTACAGTGATGGAATTTTACTCCTG